ATTAATTCTAAATTTTTATCTTTTTTTATTATTACTCATATTTTTAATATATATAATTCAATCTTGTGGGTGGCTATATATATTGTTTTAACCTTATGATATACTTATTTGATTTTCATTATATAATAATAATAATAATATTATTATTATTATTAATTTTCACCGGAAATGCTTCAGTGAGAAACTCAGACAATAATTAAATGCAGTTACCAAAAACGTCGGCGGCGAGCTCGCGGAAGCGGACGTGACGGCGGCCGGCTTTCTCGCAGTGCTCAAGCACCTTAGACATGAGATAATAAGAGTAGAAGGTGACGCATCCCATTGCCGTTAAACAGAAGAAACCCAGGCCCCATCCCAATCCTCTGAACGCATACGGTAGTGTCAGTAACGTCGGCCCGACTATAGCCGTCGTCAAATGAAACCCGGCATGAGACCACTTCCCTATACCAAAAAAAAAAAAGAAAAAAACCAAATACAGGATTAACAACAATCCAATCAATCACCACTCCGGTTGTTTGCATGCGTGTCGGTACCACCGCTACCATCCTTCACCTTTTGATTCGAGAACAAAGGCTGCTCCGCCGTCGGATTGGAGTCGGGACTGCGGGAAAGGGTCTGCTTGCGGAGGTTGCGGCATTTCCGTGTTTTCGGATCAGCGAGAGAGGCTAACAACGAAATATAATCAGAAGAGGAGAAACCCAGACTGGAATTGGGGAATCATGGAGGCTTCAGAAAAGAAGCAGGAGGAGGAGGAAAGGTTGCCCCTAGCTACTGCCCAGGACGTGAATGGGAATAAAATGATCTCTATTATAATAAACGAGGTAAAATACTCAAATATACCCCTAAAAATATAGTAGTACGAGAGATCCACTCCCAAATAAAAAAGGAGACAAATCCACTTATAATATTTTCAATTTAGATAAATCACTTTAAATTTAACGTGTGACATCATCTAACATAAGTAATCCGTTAATTTGTTAATAGATTGTTGACATCAAATGACGTTAAATTAACAGATTATTAATGTCAAATGACGTCACACATAATTTGAGGTGATTTGTCTAAGTTAAAAACTTTATAAGTGAATTTATCCCATTTTTTGTTCAAAAGTGGATCCATTCTTGCCACTATATTTTAGGGATGGATTTAAATATTCTGCTTAATAATTATGTCTTTTGAAATTATTAAGTGATAATTAATAGAAATATATAAATTTAAAATTGAATTATAAATGAATGATCTCTATTTTTTTTTTATCAAGGGCAATTTTTGAGGGAAGGGAGGATTGAATTCAGCCCATAAGGTTGGATGGTACACATTGTTACTAAGGGGCTTACAAGGCCAAGTATGTGAATGATCTGCATTTGAATCTTGTAATGGCTAGAAAGAATTTTAAAAATGGAAGGGTGAAATCTCTTATTGTATAATTTATATTGATAAAATGAGTCAAGTCAAGCACAGCCTAACTAAAATTAAAGTATGAATTGTTTGCTAAAGCAGAAAGGAAGACGCTTAAGCAACCTCAATGTGGCGATCGCGTATCTCTCATGAAGATATGTTTTCCACTAGCAATCTTTCTTTGCTTTTATCATGTCGAGTTTTAAGAGATGTTCTATAAGTTGAAGTTATAAAATTCTGATTTAGGTTGAAAAAAGGTTTATTTTGGCTAGGCAGCTTGGACAGCTCCCCAACGGAATACCTCACGCCAAAAGCTTTGCTTTCGGCGGGTCGGGCCATGGCCAGGGTCATTTTCGATTGCGTCGACGAAATTCTACATGTAGCGTGCCGTGTTTGGAAAACTCATTTCAGGATACGTTGATTGGAACTCTACTGTTGTTGAAATTGATATGAAAATGCCAACAACAGTAGTATGTTCAAAAAAACACTTGAGCATAAAAAACTGAGCACCAAAAAAGTTAGTAGATAACTAGAATTAACCCCCTTCACTTTTGCTCTTTGTCACCTTCTATCACCACGGATGCTCCAGACTACTTGTACTCTTCGAATTCTTTCTTGTATGCTGAAAACAGCAATGCAAGGAATGGATGATGGCAGTAACACATATGTTGTCACGTTGTTTTACAGGTTTTTGGCAATTATTTGTTTGTTTTATGATCAGTTTGTTTCTTTGAATGTATTGCAGTTAAATTTCAGGTTTTATCAATTTTTTTTATCATTTTTTTTTTATTTCCTTATAAAAAGCAGATTTGTTCAATGGAAAATTTCAGTTCTACACTTATTAGATCTTCATCTCTTTGTTCAAAAACTAACAATTGATATCAAAGCAATTCTGTTTTTGGAGGGACCGTGTCAACTGAGTGTAAACACATGAGGGAGTGATTTCAACCATGGAACCCTCTAATTTCACACCCAAAACTCCATGCTTTATAGGCCAAAACTACTTTGCTTGGTCTGTGAAGATGAAGGCCTACCTAAGGGCATTTGATCTTTGGGATGTTGTTGAAAATGATAAGGAACCTGCAGCTTTGTTGGAAAACCCAACTTGGAATCAGATCAAGAGGCATACAGAAGAGTCTACAAAGAGGTACAAGGCTTTTACCTGTATCCATGGAACTGTGTCAGATGAAATTTTCAACAGAATTATTACTTGTGAGACAATAAAAGAACCCGAGACACAATTAAAAAAGAGTTCCAAGGAGATCAAAAAACCAAGGAGATCCAGATTATAACTTGAGAAGGGAGTTTGAGGTGTTGAGGATGAAAGAAATAAAGACAGTGAAGGAATACTCAGATTGAGTGATGAAGACAGTGAACCAAATAAAGGTCCTTAGTGGAGAACTCAAAGACAAAAGGGTTGTTGAAAAAGTTCTTGTCAACCTACCAGAAAAATTTGAGCACAAAATCTCCTCATTGGAAGATTCAAAGGATCTTTCAAAGATGACTTAGAGTGAGCTTGTTGGTTCTCTTCAAGCAGTTGAGCAAAGAAAGGCTATTAGACAAGAAAGTACATCTGAAGGAGCTTTCCTTTTGACAGAAAAAGGAAAAGCTCAAGTGAAAGAAGATGACACTTAGGTGATAGGTGGAGGTAAAAAGCAGTTCAACAACAGGAAAGGAAAAGAAAAGAGAGAGTATTAGTACAGTAGGTTCAAAAGGAGAAAGGACAGCACCTTTTTTTTGTTCTAATTGTCAAGTGAAGGGTCACTTGGATTATCATTGTTGGTTTAGACCAGAAGTGCAATGTAGAGAGTGCAAGAAGGTTGGCCATGTTGAAAGGGTCTACAAGCAACAAACAGATCATGTACAGCAAGCTAAAGTTGCTGAAATTGTTGATGAAGATGAAAAGAAGTTGTTCATGGCATCAAAGGTTGAGAAGAATTGTATCGCTACAGTGAATGGTGATTTATGATTAATTGATAGTGGTTGCACAAACAATATGACACCAAATTTGAGTATTTTAAAAAGCATTGATAAAAGTTACTCCTCCAAAGTCAGATTAGGAAATGGAGATCTGGTGCAAGTGAAAGGCAAAGGTGTAGCTGCAGTAGAGAATTCTACAAGTATTAAATATATTCATGATGTGCTATTTGTACCTGATATAAGTAATAAGCTAATTAGTGTTGGCCAATTATTGGAGAATGGTTATGTTCTGAATTTTCATGACAAAATGTGTGATATTGCTGACAAGTCTGGTACTAGATTGTTTTCGATAAAGATGTCTGATAGGAGTTTTCTAGTGGAATGGAAGCATACCAGGGTGCTTGCTTATCCTAGTATTGTTGATGAATATGAAAATTGGCATAAAAGATTTGGCCTTTGTAATTATAGTTCATTGAAATTGATGCATTCACATGAAATGGTTGCTGATTTACCTACAATAGAAGATTGTGGTTCCGTGTGTGATGTTTGCCAAAAGGGAAAGCAATCCAAATTCCCCTTTTCAAAGAAAAGTAATTGGAGGGCTATAGAGCCATTTACAACTAATACACTCTGACATTTGTGGCCCTACGAAAACAGAATCTATCAATGGGAGCAAATATTTTCTACTGTTTATTGATGATTTTAGCAAGATGTGTTGGGTTTATTTTTTGAAGGAAAAGTTAAAAGTGTTTAACAAGTTTGTGCAGTTTAAAGTTGTAGTTGAAAATCATATTGGCAAATCAGTGAAAGTTCTAAGAACAGACAATGGTAATGAATATACCTCACTCCAATTTGAGGATTTCTTGAAGAGTCATGGCATAAAACACCAACTCATAGTACCATACAATCCTCAGCAAAATGGTGTCTATGAGAGGAAAAACAGATCAGTTATGAATATGGTTTGATATCTTATGTTCGAGAAGAACTTGCCAAGAAAATTTTGGGCTGAGGCTGTAAATACTTCTATATATCTACTCAACAAAGGCACTTGATAGAAAGACACCATATGAAGTCTAGTTTGGAATTAAACCAACCATTCATCATCTCAAGGTCTTTGGTTGCATTTGTTACATGCATATTCCAAAGGCAAAAGGGATAAACTTGATCATAGAGTTGAAGTTGGAATTTTTATAGGTTACAGCAGTCAATCAAAGGGCTACAGGGTGTTTAATGTGAGAACTGGAAAGATTGAAGTCAGCAGAGATGTGAATTTAACGAAGTTGCAACTTGGGATTGGGAGAATTTAGAACTTATATCTTCTGAGACTATTTTTGAAGATGCAATTGATGAGGATTATGTAGTTAGAGGTACTAGATCACTGGCTGATATTTATGAAAGGTGCAATGTTAGTGTTGTTGAACCTCCAAATTTTTATGAAGCTATGAAGTCAGAGGTATGGAGAGCTGCAATGCCGGAGGAGTTCAATATGATTCAGAAAAATGATACATAGTAGCTTGTGGATCGACCAGATAACAAGAAAGTCATTGGTGTGAAGTGGGGTTATAAGGTGAAACTGAATCCCAATGGTTCTATAAACAAGCACAAAGCAAGGCTTGTAGTAAAGGGATGCTCACAACTCCTAGGAGTTGATTTTTGTGAGACATTTGCACTGGTGGCTAGATTTGATACCATTAGATTGCTTTTGGCACTAGCAACTCAAAAATGCTGGTTTGTATACCAACCTCATGTTAAATCTACTTTCTTTAATGGTTATTTGAAAGAAGAAATACATGTGGAGCAGCCTGATGGATTTGTTAAAGCTGGTACTGAAAACAAAGTCTATTTGCTCAAAAAGGCTTTGTATGGACTTAAGCAGGCTCCTAGAGCTTGGTACAGCATAATAGATGAACATTTGCTGAAATTGGATTTTGTAAAGAGTCTCACTAAAGTCACTCTTTATGTCAAAGAAGAGGGAACTGATTTATTAATTTTTACAATTTATGTGGATGATTTTCTCATCACTGGTGGCAATGAGATGTTGATCCAGCAATTCAAAGTTGAAATGAAGGAATTTGAAATGAATGACTTAGGGAAAATGTCCTATTTTTCTAGAATGGAAATCAGTCAGACTAGTCAAGGTATATTCCTATGTCAGAAGAAATATGCTAATGAGATTTTGAATCAATTTGCAATGGCTAATTGCAAAACAGTTAGCACACCTATGGTCCCTTGTGAGAAGCTAAGAATTGATGATGGTGCAGCTAAAATTGATGCAGGAGTTTACCAGAGTCTAATTGGGAAATTGTTATATTTATCAACAACTAGACTTGATATGATGTATTCAGTGAACCTTTTTTTGTCTAGGCTTATGCATTCTCCCAATGAAATACACTTCAAAGCAGCCAAAAAGATCTTGAGGTGTGTGAAGGGAACAATTGATTTTGGTGCTCTTTATAAAGTTCAAAAAATGTGAAGCTAATTGGATTCACAGATAGTGATTGGGCTGGTTCAGAGGAAGACATGAAAAACACCTTAGGATAGTGTTTTTCTATAGGTTCAGGGGTGATTAGCTAGAGTTATAAGAAGCAAGACCTGGTTGCCAAGTCAACAACAGAAGTTAAGTACGTTGCTGCTTCTCTTGTTGCAGATCAAGCCATGTGGTTCAGGAAACTGATGAATGATTTAAAACAACCTCAGATACATCCCACTGAGTTGTTTTGTGATAATTTATCTACTGTTGCAATTGTTAAGAATCATGTTCTTCATGGTACAACCAAGCATATCAAGGTCAAATATCATTCTATCAAGGAAGTGGTTAGTGAAGGTGAAGTTCAAGTTTTACATTGTAATTCAGATGACCAAATTAGGATTGCACAAGTGCAGATTTGAGACACTAAGAAACAAGCTTGGGATGAGCAGCATTAGTGTCAAGGAGTGAAAACAGCAATGCAAGGAATGGATGCTGATAGTGACACAAATGCTATCACGTTATTTTATAGTTTTTTGGTAGTTATTTGTTTGTTTTATGATCAGTTTGTTTCATTGAATGTAGTGCAGTTAAATTTCAGTTTTTATCAGTTTGTTTATCAGTTTCTTTTATTTCCTTATAAAAGGCAGATTTGTTCAATGGAAAATTTCAGTTCTGCACTTATCAAATCTTCATCTCTTTGTTCAAAAACTAACATATGCTTCCATGGCTTCAGCAGCTTTTGAATTCCAGACCTGTTTCTCTTCCTTCTTCAGTTCCTATAACCCAAAACACCGGCCAAAATGAATTAATTAGTTACATAACAATCAGACACCATTATCAAAAGGGATTGATTTATACATGAACTATATAGTACTTTCCATTTCACTGAAATCAGTGCATTGAGGGTGGAATTGTTAAATTCTGGTCACTCCTGCATCAGGGTTTTCCTTGCTTCTCTGCTGAACAGAAGGAATGAGAGAGCGGGCTTCTTTGGCCTGTTGGGGTCAGAATTGTGCTGCTGCTTCTTCTGGCGTTTCTCCTTTTTTTTCTGTGATTTATGTAGTATAATTTAACCATCATACTAGTTTCAAAATCAATAATATATAAAACGATGATGTTCATGGGCGGGAGAAATCAATTTACCTTGATGATATTTTCAGTCTTCTCTTTTTTCTTGAGCAGCTGCAGAGCTTCTTTTTTCTGGAGTTTCATGAGCTCCTCCTCTTCATTTCTTAGGTTCATGGCTTCTTCCTCCTTTTCTGTTTGTAAGCCTCCATTTCTTGCATGTATTTTTCTTTATTCTTCTTTGCCATCTGCAAATTTCCAAACATCAAGCTAAGGAAGAACTTCAATTGTAAGGCAAAAGCATGCTTTTGGGGTATACACGTTTGTGACAAACCTCTTCATAAGGCCTTTTCTGTTCCTCAGTGATGGCTTTCCACTCTTCACCAGCAATCTTGGTTACCTCTAAAATATTCTTGTTCTCTGCTAAAAGAGCTGCCCGCCTTTCATTTGAGAACAGGAAAAATGCTGACATTGGTTGCTTTGGTTTCAATGGATCCTTTTCTTTCCTGTAAAGACCCAACATACACAATTAGCATATCTGGCACAACGAAAAAGAACAGAAAGAGAGCCAATATAATTTGCATTCCTGGTCCTTTTGTTCTCTTTCTCTGCTTCCTGCTTGAACTGTAGATATGGTTCCAGCAGCTCCATAGCTGTCTTCTGCTTATGATCCTCCTCCAAAAGCTTCATTGCTTCACTTTCACGCTTCTCCTTTGCCTTCAGTTGCAGATAGGCTTCCTTCTCGGCCTGATAATTCTCTTCATAGGGCTTCTTCTCTTCTGCAGTAAGAGTCTTCCATCTTGCTCCCGAAACATTTGAGATGTCTTTGAAGTTGGCCTCTGGGTTCTCCTTCTTGACCTGCAAAACCAGAAATCTATATGAATGGATGTAACATTACAATTGAGACAGGCTATTATTACATAGTAATATCCTTCTTCTTCATTGGAGTTTATATAAGCATTTCATATAAAAATATTTATTTTATTAATAAAAATAAATGTTTATTTATTAATCTTGAAATGATAATATGATTAATTTTAATTATTTACTAATTAACTTTAATTACTCATTTGATTAACTCATTAATCTAATGATTTGATTGAAAGAACAACTCTTTGTATGTCCATTTAACAAATATTATATATACAAGAGATCAGTAAATTATTGTAGATAAATTAAAAAAATATTTGTTTATAAAGTAATAGAAAAAATAGTTTAGCAATTTATAAAAAAAATTATTTGTAAATAAAAAATAATAATTATATAAGGGTGGAAAAAACGAATTGAATTAAGAGAGTGAAAGATAAAAATAAATGATTAGAGAGAAAGAGGTATATAATAATTCTGTAATACAAACCGGATAATGTGAATTAGGGATATGTTGGATGTACCCTTGGTCTAAAAATTTTAACAACAAAAAATATGTTGCTAATTTTTGTTTCAGCAACATATTATAAAACCCACAAAATCGTGGTAGTTGATGCTATTGCATTAATTAGGAACGTGTGCCACGTTACTGATTCCAATTTTCACCGACAAACCAAATTATATTACTAATTATTACTTGTTAAAAGTTAAAAATTTAATAGTATATATATATAAATTATTTCATATCAGTTTTAA